CTGACATCCTTCTTGCCAGTCTTTGGACACATATGAGGGGGTCTGGTCTAGTTCATCATAAACTCAGATTTTCAAGTGAAATCTCCTTATTATAAATGTTGACTCACTTGTTTTTTCCCATGGATGAAGAGATGGCAAGGTTGGCTTTGGGAACTGGAATTTTGGTTTCATAGAGGTTCATTAATAATAGTCTGTCAACTTTATAATTAAAAATTTAAAACTATACATTGAAAAATTAAGCCCTGCATGCTGTTAGCTTACAATCAGCAGCTCAACATGTCAACTGATGAAAACACCTGAGATATAAACATGGGCACAGAGACTGGCTTCCACTTCCAGCCTTTACAGTCCAGCAAGATCCATAAAAGAAAAAACTCAGCAAATTGGGGGTGGGGGGCAGGCAAATTAAAAACATTTATGCTTCAAAAGATATTGTTAAGAAAATGAAAAGATAAGCCAAGACAGAGAGAAATATTAACAAATTATATATCTGATAAAAGATTTATCCAGAACATAAGAACTTTTACAACTAACTCAATAAGACAAGCAACTCAATTAAATAATGGCCAAAAGATGTGAATAGACTTTACACCAAAGAAATATAAATGGCCAATAAGCACACGAAATGATGTTCAACATCATTAGTCACTGCGGAAACAATAAATCAAATCCACAATAAGATAACACTTCACACTCACGAACGGCTTTAATGAAAAAGACAGACCATAACAAGTGTTGGTAAGAATGTGGAGATACTGGAAACTCCATACACTACTGTATTTAAAATGCTGCAACCATTTTAGAAAACAGTTTGGCAATTTCTTAACACAAAACGTTAAACACAAATTTATCACACAACCCAGCCATTCTACTCCTAGGTATCTACCCAAGAAAAATGAACACATACATCCACCCAAGATTTACCTGCAAATGTTCACAGCATGATTAATAACAGCCCAAAAATGGAGACAATACAAATATCCATTAACTAGTGAATGGGTAAAGAAAATGTCATGTATTCACACAACAGAACACTACTCAGAACTAAAAAGGAATGATCTAGCAATACCTGCTACAATATGGATGAACCTCAAAAATATCACGTTAAGTGGCAGAAATCAAGATACAGAAAAGTCACACGTATCATTTCACTTTGGATTCTCCTTTCAGATTTCCCTTCTGGAAAAGGCAAAATTCCCAAACAACCAAACCCACTGCCATAGAGTGGACTGCAACTCACAGTAACCCTACAGGACATAGCAGAATGGCCCCACAGGGTTTCCAAAGCTGTAAATCTTTATGGAAGTCAACTACCCCCTCACTCTCCCGCAGAGGGGCTGGTGGATTCAAACTGCTGACCTTTGGTTAGTAGTCAAATACCTACCAGAGCTCCTAGAAAAGACAAACTAGACCTAAAATGTAGATTTTAGTGGTTGCCTGGAGCCGGACACAGGCTATCTGGGCGGGGCCCTTCCTTGTTGGTAGCCCCAGGCATTACTTGTCACACAGGCAGACAGATCTCCACAGGGTCTCTTCTTTGTGTTATCTGTGTCTAGTCTGCCTTTTAAAAATAAAACACCAATGAGAAGGGACTAGTTTTTACTTTTTTTAAATTGTGATCTGGGTGAAAGTTTACAGAGCAAATTCACTTTCCATATAGCAGCTCATGTATGAGAAGGGACTAGTTTTAAGACCCACTCTATTCTGGTATG